AAGCCTCTAGGCCAGTCCGCTGTGATTGTTGGTCGTCGATTTAAAAAAAAGTAACGGAAAAGTAACGAAAAGTTACTTCTCAAGTAACGGTAACTGTAACGAGTTACTTTTAAAAATCGGTAACTAGTAACGGTAACTTGTTACTTTTCCTACTCGGTAACGAGTAACTGTAACTTGTTACTTTTAAAAAGTAACTTTCCATTCCCTGACTATATATTGCAATAGTACGACAGTTTTGTCAAGTGAACTTCATGCGATCATAGTATCGTTGGATAATGAAATTTTCATAAAGTGATTACTTATATGAATTTATCGAAATATACGATCTTAATTAGCAATGTTCGCGATTTTCTACTACAGCTGTGGTCACTATATTTTATCGATAAGAACGTGACTATACAGAAAAAATAATTTACTAGAGAGTATCTAAAAATTTAGCTAGATAAATTTAAAAATAATGTTGTAGAACGCTCAAGCATAATGGACAATATTATTTGTAACATTTTGACATTTTAGCAATTATCTTGAGAATTCTACATAATTATTTTGATAGTCCAACAAATTATTTTCAGATTTGTATCTAAATAATTTTTAAATACTTCAGCAAAAGTTTTCTATCCAAATGCAATATAATAGCTACGTTGCAAAAATCTTGTCTGGTCATATTCGAATCTCAATTTTAAATTACTTATGAAAAAATCAGCATGTAACATCGAAAGTGTTGAAAAAAATATTCCGTTGATTCTTGTGCAACTGGTTTACTCATGTGAACTTTATAGTCTCTCTCTTATAAATAATTAAGAATTACCATAAAATATAAACGTAAAATTATACAAAAAAAATGTTTAAAACGTTTAACAGTTTATGATGTACATAAGTTTTTATTTTTAACAACAACAATTTTACAATAAAATACATAAACTAATTTTTATTGAAATCTGTTTTTAGAGAAATCGGTTTAACATGCGTATAAAGCTGTATTTACAAATAGGTTACTTATAATTTGAGCTATAAAAATATATTTATAATTATTAAATTTACATTATTTATAACTGGGAAATTTTTGATGTTGAAAGTTTAATAGTTACTATGAAATTGTTAAGAAATAGCGAGGAACAATATTATTTCTTAGATTAGTTTCAAAATAACATATCCTTCTATTTAACATCTTAATATTTATAATTGGTTCAGAATTAGGGAAAAACGTCATTGTTTACGATTATCGGTTTTTTTTTCTAAATAATCTATCACAATGACATTCTTTTAGCATCGTGATAAAGCCTAAATCACCTATAAAAATTTTGAATGGAAAAATGTTCTATTGTGTTAAAAACAAAATAATCAGATCATATATTTAATTCCAAAATAATTAGAAACCACGATACTCATTAAAGGGACGCTGTGAAATTCATTGTTTTGTAATCCTGACTATCTTCTAATCCCTGTCATTGATCTCAGCATTGGAAACATTAGCGTTTTGCGAGTGCCAGGAATTTATGTGCCTCTCCAAGTCTCTCCTTCTGACCAAGACTTTATCGCACATATTGCATTTATAACGACTCTCTCCTGTTGCGTGCAATCTTACATGTTTGTTGAGATTACTGGGATCTCCGAATTTGTGGTGGCAAAAATCACATTTTAGAGGCTTGTAACCTGTGTGTGTCCTAATGTGGATTCGCAATCCATATTTTCTCGAGTATATTTTATTGCAAAATATACATCTGTATCCAGCACCGCACTTGCCCATGTCACTGGCGATTGTCTCCACTTCAGCGGGATCCTTCTTAGATTCTGTTTGTATGCTGGGACGCATATAGGACATGAAACTATTCCTGTAGAGATCTCGATGCATCAAAGTTTCGTAAGGCCTCAAAGACAAATAACGATTTCTCTCTGTTATGTGTTCGATGGGTGATTCATAGGATGATGAGCTCGGTAAAACTTCTATCGTTGGAGATTTTACTGAGGAATATGGAGGTATCGGTGAGGGACCATTTGAGGATATGGATGATAATTGATTCGATGAGGATGGCGAATCATTTCTTAACGAGCGAATGGTAGTGTCAATTGTTTGCACTGGATACGTTGGAATACCAGTTGGTAATGTAATTGGTCTAGAAACAGGCAAGGGTTTTAGTTCAAATGTAAAACTTGTTCTTGGATACTGGCTGAAGGATAAATTCGTTTTTGGAGAATTAATGATCTTATTCGCCAGAAGCATCCAAATGTAACTATTATCCATTTGATTGCAATCCAACGCCAAATGTAGCTTCAGAGGATTTGGATGATCAAAGCAGCTGTTGCAATTATGGCACGTGTAAACCTGACCTGTAATTATTCAAATAACCGTCTATTAATAAATATTTTATTAATAAGCTTATTTAATTTTTATATAATACATTTCTTATTTTCCATTATTTTCATATGTTGTAACTTATTGCAATCTTAACAATTAATGGTGAGATATAATAATAAGTTAAAATGAAGGAAACACCATCACTAACTTACATCAGCTGTGCTAGACTGTTTATATGATCGACTAAAAAAATTTTTATTAATAGCATTTTTATTTTTCATTTCTTAAGCAATTTTTTAATCAATTTTCTAATCAATTTCGTTTCTTAACCTAAAATAATAATAGTAAAATAATTTTTTAAATAACAGTGAAAAATCTACTGTATTGTATTAATTTTGCATTAACATTAATTAGAAATCAGTTGGTATTTAATTTTGTATAATAAAAGTTATATATAGCTATATGGTAACTTAATTTAGGTTAAATTTGATGCTATAAATTTAACATACGTGCACACATTCTTGTAAATTAGATCGTATTATATCTTGTAACTTTTATAAATTAATCTATAGTTTAATTTCTCCATGTAGGTAGTAATAGATAACACTTAATTAAAAATATAAAAATATCTTCAGTAAACTGTAATACTTGTATACTTCTAAATTGTAATTTTGTAAACATAATCTCACAACTCGCCGGCTCGCGTAAATAAAGTAGCCACGGCAATGTCGCTGCGTGTAGCTTTGCGCCGAGACACTACCAAATGTCTCCAGATAATAAACTTATAACTAGTAGAAATTATTAATGATAAAAAATTAATAGTTATAAATTATTAAGGATAATGTTTAAATAGAAAACTAACGAAAGATTAAAATTAATAAGTTTATTGATGATATATCACATGAAAAAATTAAATTAGCTTAGAGAAATTTTTCTCCTACCTTGAATATTGCAATTGACCGGTGTTAAAAATGGAATGTTCAACATAGTCAAAATACAATCTTCAAACCACATTAATAACGGTTCTCCTATTGCTATATCTTTTATTGCTTTTAATACGAGTCCGTCATTGCTAATCATTAGCAGAACATTGTAGTTTTGAAAATCTGTTGCTAAGGTGATGATTTTCAACCAGCAAGATGGACTTATAGATCCAGTGAGACAGTGAAGACGACCGCCAACATCAATAATTTCAATGACACTCTAGAACATTAATATTTAATAGATTCTCAGTTAAAATTGAAATTTTATAAGAGATTCTACTTTAACTGTTTAGGAACGAGTGTTTATAACGTTTACTTTAAAATTAAATGCGAGATAAATTTGGGATCTGTACAAATTAATTATACTTAAGAATCCGAAGATAGAAATGTATAGCATTAAACACTGAGATTGTGTTTCATTTATTGCCAATACTGAAAATCTATAGTGCGTGTAACGTAGATTGTAGATTTTCAATACTAGTAGTAAATTTTAAAACACAGTCCGCGTATATAGTACTTCTGCTTGCTTTGAAAAGGCAAATCGATCGTATATATATCGATCGATACATATCGTTAATGTAAATATAAGGCCTGTTCTTTTTAGCTGAACATTTTGTACGGTTTATCTTTTCTTTTTTTTCTCTTCAATTTGGAGAGAAAAGGAAGAAAGATGAACTGTGCAAGAACTTTAGCTAAAAAGAACAGACATATTGATAGAGTCTTTATTTAACAGGTCATGTTTTAGCAAAAACAGTAAAAAAACTTTTTAATTACAAAGCAATGCTATTCCTAGAGGGCTAACCTACGCATTGAAATCATTTTCACTACGAATGTTGAACGCGAAAATATTTTGTTAAAACAAGACTTTTAAAACATAAATTTAGTTCTAAATAAAATAGAATGTTTATTACATACATGTTGAATGATTGATGTATTTCCTTCAGACAATGTACTGACGGGGATCATTTCCGTCGTGGAGTTTCCTTTAAGAAGTCCTGCGGCTCGAACGAGTGGTCTGCTCATAAAGAAATTTGGTCTTCCGATCATGGGTAGATTAACATATTCTTGCGCTAAGCGGTTTTGTATTTGATATTTGTGAGATAAATTTTTTTCCGGTTCTCCACTTCTTTTAGTTATCGTCTCGTATTCCGATACTATAGGATACATCACTTGCACGTTTCTGTTAAAAGTTTGTGTAGAACAATTATTCTAAGAAACACTATTCCACCTTGAAACTCTTTTCACAAATTCTAGTTCTTCTTCGATCAGTCTTCTTTAAACTTCAAGAAACGCATCAGAATTTTTTCTGATTATATTAAAAATATTTAATGAAATTACACTATAACATTTCACACAGTTTTGCAAACATCCACATACGTTTATTGTCACAATGCCAAGTTTTTTCAAGGCGCACCTTGAATTGTTGTACGTTAATGGTCCGCATGATATGAAGTTAAGATATCAACTAACTAGAAGCACATTTCATGCATCCTTTAAATCTGTACTGGAGGTGGTGCCTAATTTTGGTCAGTGGTTTCGCCTCATGTGTTCTCCCCTCTATCCTTCTCTGTATAAGTAGACACGTAATTGTATTTAGGGCCGGCAGTAGACAGGCCCTTCGGTAGCTTGCGAATCATGTTGGTGGAACTATGGAATGGGAGGAGCTAACTGGTCGTAGGTTCATTTTTTGGGGATTTTCTGCTTGTTGCAAGGGGTTTTCTACCACTCGTCACGTGGTATTACAGGTCTTGTATATTGCAATAAAGAAGCAATAATTAAAAATTGAAATATATATATATATACATATATTTATAATGTTTATTTATTAATAAAATTAATTTATAAATGTAAATTGCATTGCATCAAGATACTGCAAGGTATTCTTGTAATATCTTGTATTAATGTAATTGTAACTAATAACTAACGTTTTGATTTTGATCATATTATTGCAAAGATAGTTGTTGCCATATTGATGAAGACGCAACGAAGAGTGCAATTCGCGGATCGGCAGGGTAAAAGCGGACCTTCAGTACTCAATAGGGCTATAAAAGCCTCATGTGAAAAGACATTGTTTGGCTCAGCTGCGGCCACTACGCGTCTCCATACTACCAATGCGAGGGATCGACCGAAAGGTGCATCTGAATCAACGGTTGATTAGGAAATTAAGTGGCTTATTCTTCTCGGTGGTCCGAGCCGTCGATCGCGTAGGCGCGATATCGTTCGGATTTGTCTAATCGTCCGTTGATCTTGATGCACCTAGTAGTTTTCGGTGCTATCTTGCTAATTCATGTCTCTCTCTCTCTCTCCCTCTTTCTTTCTTTTTTTTGTACGCAATAGATGATCTCATAAAACGCTTTTCGCCGGACACGATGTATTCATCGTTTTAGAGATAAGAATAATCACTCAGGTGATTAAGTGAATATGTACAATTGAATATTGCTACAAATCCCAAAGCACACTGAGAGAAAAATGTTTGGTATTTGTAACTATAATTACATATTACTATAATTATGATTATTACTGCTATAATAATAATTAAAAGTAACTATGTATATATAGTTCTAGCAATAAATGTATACAGTTGGCAACCTAAAATGACTATATAATTATAGTTATTATAACCATAAAATAGTTGAAATTTTACTGTTATTATTATTATAGCAGTAATAATCATAATTATAGTAATATATAATTATAGTTACAAATATCAAACATTTTTCTATCAGTGCAGTAAATTTTGCATGTCATTTATTTTTATTTAAAAAATGAATAAAAACGAATTTTATATATACATATATATATATATATATATATATATATATTTGATTTTGTATCTAGTTATTCACTTTATGAATCGCTCGACTTTAAATTTAATATAATAATCGATCGCAAATTCTTAAGATACGTGCTTTCGAAGCTCCACATAACTTACTAGTCTGATTCGGAACCAGAAAAGGGGCATGGTTCCTTCAGGCTGCGTACCTCTTTCATGAATGACGTGATTCATCCGCGTGTATGATGTCGGAACAGGGAATGACACGAGTGTTCACAAGCCGCACCATCCCCTGTACCAACCCCTGATCGCTGGAAACTTGAGCACGAGTGTTTCACCATTCTATCGTGCCCTAAAATGTACACGGCAAGTGTTTCCTCTGCGCGATTCGTGAGTAGAAAACAGAAGTATGAAAGATTCGTGTACCTTGCTAGTAAAGACGTAGCTTTTTAGGAAAATATAGAATAAGAAATTTGGTCACATAAGAAGTATTCATTATTGAATATTCTGATTATGATATTTATTATATTTATCTCTGTCGGAATCTTTTTGTTATCAATGTAATAATTAACCTAAGTATAAAATAGTTTAATAATTAATTATAGTAGTTCAGCAAATTAATTATAACTTGCAATAATTTCTTAAACAGATTATCATATAGAATATTAATAATATTATTTATCTACTTACCTTTCTCGCAGTTTCCTGATAAATTTCATTCGTCGCTTCGCACTGCAGTGGAGGGTCGTTCCCTCTGATCGTCTCTTTCTAAAATCAGGGTGCAATTCAGACAACCGCGGAGCCAGCAAGCGAGCAAGTGTTCCGCCGTGACCAATGGGCCCCTTGCACGCATGTGTGCGCTTCCCAATGCGATATTAATATCGCGATTATCATCTACGTATTATCGCTGCACCCTTATGGGTGGGATGTTCAAAATAAGCCTACGCAGAAACACCCCTCCGCGATCTTGTATTCGCGCACCAAGCCGTGCACCAAGCACCCGGTGTGACGATGCACGAGGAGACTGCAAGTGCATTTTGGCCTTGTATACTCAAAGAACGCAATACATACTGTTCAGTTCTAACTAGGACGTTCCTTTTTATATATTAAACACAGAAAAGCTTGTGATAAAGAGAAACGGAATTAATTTTAAGAAGTAATCACAATTATGAATATATAATCTTTTTTGGAGATAATATATTTTTAATAATAAAAAATATTATTAATATCATACAATATACAGATTCCTTGAATTATATTATTATAATTATTATGTTGATATTAAATCTCAAACAGTACTCAGCGATACGTATATTTCTTTCGCGAATAAGTATTGAGATTTAAAAAAGAAAATTATTTCGTAATCAATGAAATATAGCAAATTGATATAATGATGTATTAATATTATGAACTTTCTACATTATATCGTCGTTATCGATACATACATTTTGCATACATTTGCATGAAAGTACGTAAACGTAATGTCGCTAATGGGAGATGTGCGTGCACTTGGAATCTTTTGCCACGGGGAGACGGAACCAATCTCATTGTTCTGTGTCCCTTTACTGCATTCTGAGTTATGATCCTTTGCGGGAGGTGGTCATAAAGATGATTCGTCTCGGTTCTGCAAGTGTCAAAAGTCTAATGCTGCTCCCAACGAGACTGTGGCTTATGTATTATTAATATTTGCTGCGAATCGCGCTAGCTAGGCTGACTAGTTTAGCGAATTTAGCCGGATAAACAACAGTTCTAAAGATTATCAAAAATTGTCTTCTATAGTATTTTTTTAATTTAATTTAATATTTTCATATTATTTATATTGTATTATATTGAATTTATATTACATATTGTTACGAAAATATGCTGGAACAATTATTACAATCATGTTAACTTGTTAACAATTACTATAATTGTAAATTAATGATAATTAAATAAGTATATCTAATTCTGTATATCTAATTTTGTATATCTAAGTCTTATACAAAATTTTATATACGGAGAACATTTTTTATTATATTTTAGTAATTTAAATTACTGTAATTGATTCATTTTTAAAGAAACTTTGCAAATTTTTCTGCATTACATTCCATGCAAGAGAAGTCAAAGTGTACTTCCGCTGTTCACGTGCCACGTCGACATATTGCTCGTGTCCCGCAGAGTGCATGTAACACGACACGTGACCACCGAATACCCCACAGATATTCTCCATCCCGATCACGCGCCCCGCGTTTGAGGCAGTATTTAACCATTAGGAACTGTTTACTTGATTTTAAGAGTCAATCCAATTCACATGATTGTCCGCGGGTAAATATTAAAATACAATAGTGTCTCGTTTTCACTCAAGCCAATAGCCAGCGGAGATATTTTTATAAAATATATAATTACACGATATATATATATAATAAATTTTAAAGATATTTATCGCATAATTGACGCATAAAAACCGCAAATTAGAAAAGAAAAATATATCTTGCTCGAAAAATCACGTTGACCCGTATTTTTACAGTAGGTGTTCTTAAATTTGCACGTGTCGTATTCGCAGAGAGAAAAAATTACGTGAAGGTGCAGATGACAGGGGTCACATGACAAAATAATGTCGGAGCCCTCGTGGTATACCAGTCCTGGTGCATTGGACAACTCTTACCCCTCTTCGTTCAGCATGCGGTAGACCGTCTCCTCTCCCTCTCCTCGAAAAACACGATTCACTTGGCACACAATTTTTGTATATAATGCACGGTACGAGAAAGCAGTCCCCCTGCTTAATTTAATCCAATACAATATGTCCCCTTGTCTCACTCCGATTCAACCCCTCACCCGCGAGGGCTTAGTTAAAGAGGGTGGGTGGCTTTTTAAAACTGTGCCGATCTCAATTCAGCGTGAAACCTCATCCCATTACGATCGGTCTAATCCTGATTGGAGCGGACAGGTTTTTTACTCTAGCGGTGTATCGGTGGCCTATGATCGTCTCTAAGGGTGAATCTCAGAAATGATCTCTGATGTTCAGTGTATATCGTATCTCAAATGTGTGAATAACAAAAGCGCACTGATATTAATGATAAACATATTTTAAAAAATGTTATATTTGCGAATAAGTACGTATGTACAAGAAATGCGAAATGTGGGGAACGTTAATAGAATTTATACATACATATTTTTTTCTTCCTGGACTTAATATACTTAATTTTCTTCATTTTTTAGCAGATTATTAAAAAATCATTTAATTATTTTTTCCAATGCAATTGATTTACATGCACATACGCTTCTTATTGAAGCCTCTATTATATGAAATAATAGTTTGATCTAACTAAATAGCGAGTGTAAAAACACATCCTGTTTTAGTAAAATAACATTTGTTACTTTCTCGACGTAGAAGAAATAGTCTCAGCTGTGTTAG